CCGTCCTTTCCTCTCTATTCCATGCCTCAAACATCTCCCTGCACGTCCTTTCTATTTTTCGCAGCTCAGTCACGCACAGTTCCCTCTCCTTCTTGTACCACGGACATTCCGCGACTACATGAACACGGTCTTCGCATTCGAAGCGGCAATCACATTTGAACTCGTCGTCTCCGTCGTCTACCGTCCTATGTCTTCGTCGACGTTCTCGAAGGCCTATGTCCCCGGTCCTGAATTTGACCTTAAGCTTTGTTCCTGCATCCATTGGTCCATGTAGGTAATCCTTGACCCCTATTCCTTCCTTCAACATCCCGTACACTCCTAGACCCTCCTTATCCTTGGATTCTTTCCTTAGATTCTGTTCTTCTCTCTCGCACAAGCAACAGATATCTTCTCCTTGAACCCCTGTAGACCCTCCGTTTCCAGCGTTTCATCTTCGTCGATGTCGAGCCCCTTCCATACGTCCTCTACAACCTTGACCCATTCCGTGGGTTGTCTACCCCTCTTTTTGTTTGCCCACTTCGCCTCCCATACAATTCTCGGCAACCTCTCCTCTCCCATCCCGCACATGCGATACTGCCAGGTCAGCTTCCTCGCGTCTCTTCCCGACCGTAGGGATTGGATCCCCAATTCTGCCCTCACGGCTGCATTACTTGTGCGCCTGGAGCATCCTAGGATGGTTTTCGCTGCTTTCATCTGCGCCGCCTCGAGTTCTTTCACTACCTTCTTATTTCCTTCCCATACTTCTCCGGCGTACTCTAGCGGTGGTACGATTACGCTCTTGAAAACCGTCAATTTGATGCGTGTGTCGAGGTGCCGGTTTGTGAGTATTGGGTGCAGCTTCCCTGCTCGTGCTTTGCCCTTTTCCGCTACCTTGGACATGTGTGCATTCCACGAGCAGTCTTTTGCGATCTCTACTCCAAGGTATGTGTACTGGTCCACTACTGCAATCTGCTCGATTCCCTACGTGCATCTATGTTCTACTGGTTCCTCCTTGTTCTCGTTGCATACCATGACGGCACTCTTCTGAACGTTGGCAGACAATCTTTTTGTATCAGTAAACTTCTGCGCCGCGTCAATTTGCAGTTGCAGTCCCTCAGTGGTGTCCGACATACCGACAANTGCTCCGTCTAGCATGACCGCGGTTTTCGTACACTATGTCGTCTTCTTCAGCACTCTCCACATTTTCCCCTTGATCCCGTGTTTGGACAGTTGTTTCCACA